TCTAAACTTCATTAAAAAAACAGCAAAACCGATACCTGATGAACAATGTACATTATTATTATTACTGAATTAGTCATTTTATGAAAATGTTACCAAAGGAGCAGGACTTCAAAGCCAGCATCGCGAAGAGGAGAAGCAAGTGACATAATCAACATAGCAAGTGTGGCCTTTGCCAAGCTCGCGAGAGAAGCATCGGTATGGGCAATGCTTGGTTGTAACACAATATCTTGTTGGCGGGGACACATGTCGTTTGCACCAACAGCAAGAATAACGCGAGCTGGTTTCAAGGCTTTTATCTCTTCGACATGAGTGTCATTGATGGTACTGACTTTCAGTCCAGATTTCACTATAACCTATAAAGTTGGACTCTTACGCAAACGTTCCAAACGCTGCCGATTGTATTCTCTTTTTGAGTTCTTTTTATCAAAAATTGTGGCCGCCAAATCAAAATCAATGGAGACTGGTGTTAGATCCACGTGACTGGGAACTGAATTTTGCGACAAACTATTTGTGTGGTTTATTGTCTTCGCCTTCTCGCGCTTCGTTCGTGCCCATTCTGCCTGGTACACTTTCCGATCCATCTTTGACTTTGTTAATTTCTTAACATTACCACAAGTGTTATTTGATAAATTGTCCAGCAGCATAATATTGGCAGCGGGTGTTGGATACATATCTTTCTTTTCACAAAGAATAACATAAGCACAACCCCAATCAGGGACATGGTGGTGCGATATGGTGCAATCGTTAACGCAAAGGTACTCATGAGCGGTTTTTATGACAGTAAAGTAATGACCGTGTTCAAAAGACCCCGTGTGAATAACAGCAGCCTTTACTCCGTAATCACATCCACCAATTTCGATTGTTTCACCAATTGTGACTTCTGCTCTAGAGTAAACGCGATTGCCAGCGACAAACATGTAACGCGCAATCAGCAAAATAACAGTATTTGCAATATGGGTTGGTTCTTTAGTTGTTATTGCCCTTTCTGAGATACACGTGGAATTTGGACATGTTACATTAATGGCTTGGTTGGCGAAGTGATTGACCACAAGCTCCTGCAGAAGTTGACCATTGCGTGGAGGACTTAAAACTAACGCAGAAGTAGTTTCAGGTCTTCTCCATGACACATTACACAGACAACACGTGAAATTATCTGAATACGATATTTCAAAGAAATTCCATTGGCCCTCAGATTTAAATGCATTGATAATTGACAGTAGTACCTCGGAAGCATCGTGCTGATGTCCATAGGTACATGAGAAGCTGTAATTCAAATCAAGATGCTGGAGAATTTTAACTTTGGAAGTAGACGCATTGATGAAAAAGTTTTCTGTGGACAGCATTTGACAAAATATCTTTTTCACAGTTGAAATTAACACGCCACCATGGTCAAATTCAGTAAGTCTACTGAGCCGATCTCTGATGCAAGCGCTTGACAACAAAAGCTGAAGAACAGAATTGAGATAGCAACTGTTGTCATCATTTGCAATGCCCGTGGGTCGAAATGGCTCCATTACATGGTTGAAAATAGAAGTAACATAAAAATTATCATTTTGCTTTACGTTATTGAGTCCACGCTCCAACAAATTCTTTTTTGAGAAATACAAAAGCAAATTTGAAAATTAATTACCGGACAGATATAACTATAGATAAATCTTTAAAATAAATAATTTAAAATCATTTTTGATGTAGCTGCAACCCAAAAGCAAGTGGACAAATCTCGTTGGCAGCGTTCCCTGTAAATCGTTGTACGCTAATTGGTGATATACAGATCTTTCTGAAAATATCCTAAGCAGAACAATAAATTGAAAATCATTTTTTGCTTTTAACTACATAGCTAAGAAGTAAAACATCAAATTTCACAATCAAACAACAAAGACGCTAACTAAATAAATAAATAAATGAACGAACAAACCAACAAATGAACGAACAAACTAAAAATAAATAAACATAAATAAATAAATGAATAAATAAATACATACATGAATAATAAATAAAAGCAAAACTAAATGAAAGAAAATAATTAAATAAATATAGCAATAAATATCAACGAATAAACAAAACACACCTGATAAATAAATAAACAATAAAAAAATAAATCAATACATAAATAAATAAATACATACATAAATAAATAAATAAATAAATAAATAAATAAACGCAAAACTGAAATGTACAAATAATTAAATTAACATGAAAAAATATATATATCATGAACAAATAACCAAACAAACAGACCCATAATATAAATAAATGAAAGTAAATGAATTAAATAAATACACATACATAAATAATAAAAGCAAAACTAAATGAAAGAAAGAATAATTAAATAAATATAGAAATAAATATCAACAAATAAACAAAACACACCTGATAAATAAATAAGCAATAAAAAAATAAATCAATACATAAATAAATAAATAAATACATAAATGAATACATAAATAAATAAATATATAAATAAATAAAAGCAAAAGTGAAATGTACAAATAATTAAATAGACATGAAAAAATATATATGAACAAATAACCAAACAAACAGACCCATAATATGAATAAATGAAAATAAATAAATGAAATAAATACACATACATAAATAATAAAAGCAAAACTAAATGAAAGAAGAATAATTAAATAAATATAGAAATAAATATCAACAAATAAACAAAACACACCTGATAAATAAATAAGCAATAAAAAAATAAATCAATACATAAATAAATAAATAAATACATAAATAAATACATAAATAAATAAATAAATAAATAAATAAAAGCAAAAGTGAAATGTACAAATAATTAAATAGACATGAAAAAATATATATGAACAAATAACCAAACAAACAGACCCATAATATAAATAAATGAAAATAAATAAATTAAATAAATACACACGCAGAAATAATAAAAGCAAAACTAAATGAAAGAAAGAATAATTAAATAAATAAACAAAACACGTGATAAAAATAAACAAAAATAAATATGTACATACATAAATTATAAATAAATATAAGCAAACTAAACATAATTTAATAAATAGAAGAACAGATAATTAAATAAATAAAGTAAAGATGAACAAATAAAGAAACAAAAATACGCAATCACGTGACATAGCGCGATATAGTCCAGCCCACATGATAATTGATAACTGTGGACGTTATTTGTCGACACTTGACAACAGACAACATTAAAAAAAAACCCGTTACACGATACCATAACACCTTGACTAAAGTCTTCGGTGTAAAGAGGGGAAATCGTTAACAAGATCCAAAGTCTTAAAATGTGTTCTCGCTAAAATTTGATTTTTCGCGGGTGTGTTTTTCGACAAACTACTATCGAATAGCACGTGATCGTTTTCTAGTTTCGAAAGTGGAATTTAGTTTCCAGATTTCTCAGCGAAATGAAAAACTTGATTCTTGATCCGGTTTTCGCAAATTGGGATAACTTTATCAAAAAAAGTGTGAATCATAAATTGTTTAAGTTCGAAGAGCTTTAAGATTATAAAATTTTTTCTTTGAAATATGAACTTGAGCGATTTTATAAAGTCAGTAATTTTTTGTTTCATTGCGTTCATGACTCTTTTTCAACTGTCTGTTGGCTATGATTTTATGACGGCAGCTGCAAGTTTAGTGTAAGTAGACAAAGTAAGTGTCAAAAATGATATTCATTAATTAAGATAATAATGCCTTGATAAAAACGGATTGAAAACCAAGTTTATTTTTATTCCGAACACCGAATGTGAGTAATAAATTTGGATTCGGTTTTTTTACGCAAATTCAGCTATTATAAACACTTCGGATGGGGTTGAATGGAATATCATATTGAAACCTTTTCAAATTTGGAGTTTTCAGATTTTGTTATTTATCGCCGTTTTCTCGAGAGAAACTAAAAGCTGTTTTCCGCTGTTTGGTGATCGTTCTCGTATTAACCCAAAAAAAATCTCAAGCTATTTTTTTTAAATCAGGGTTTTTATAATAATTTCATTTCGTTTTTTCCGGATTTTTTTTTAAATGCTGGCGTCCAATGTTTTCTTTTTCCGCACACAGTTTTCAAATTTTCAACTGATCATTTTTGAAGGGTTTTTACGCCATCTGAAAGCTACTGATGCTGTGAGCTCAAAATTGTAAAGTTACTACATCTGCGATCAATTTCGTAAAGCTCGTTGGTTTGAAAAAATGCCAGTGGGTGATAGTTGTTGCGCACGAATTGATCTTTCTTCTGGTCATGCATATGACGCCAGTTTTCTAAAAAGCAGACTGTTCGTATTATGGCGAAGAACTCAATGTTCTGACCGCTCTTCAACTAATTTTGAGTCCTCTAACGCAATATTTGGCTGAGTTAGTGTTCAGTATAGTTTCGATTTTTTTCTGATCAGGAGATCAAGAGCTTCTGTATATTCCTGGCATGTTATAGGGCAGTGTGAATCTTCAGCACTTTGCCCTGATGCAAGCACTCTTGTTATTTTAAGAGTACGGACGAAAGCAGTGTTATCCATTTGAGCAAAAAAAAATCGACTATTGATCAGTTTTCTCTAAATTGGTTTGTTTTTTGAAAAAAGTCTTAAGCTCAGTAGCGTATCGAAGGCGGGGGCGGGGGGGTGGTTTGGGCGACCGCCTTCTTTTTTATTCTGGTAGCCAGTTTTTTTCCAAAGGGACCCCTTGGAAAAAAGCTGGCAACCAGAAGGACCCTTTGATGCAAGTTTACGAGATCATTTTTTGGCTGGCCAACATCAAAAGTTTTCTAAAGAAGCCAACATCAAATACTATAATGACCCTTTTTACCAAGGAGGGTCCTTAGTATTTTCAGAGAGCTCTTAAAATCAAATTGGTTGACTTTAAAAAAGGTAGACAAAATTTTTAAATAGTTTTTTGAAAATTCACCCCCCCCCCCCCCCCGAAAAATTTCTGCAGACGCCACTGCTCAAGCTTTAAAGATTCTATAAATTCAAAGAGCTTTAATGATTTATACTTTTTCTGCTTTTTCAATTGGCCCTTTTCCAACTCTCTGTTGCAAATGTTATTTTAGGTGCTTAGTGGCCCAATGAGCAACTGGTATAGTGGCAACTGGCTTCTGCCGGGACTGCCGTCTCCTCCGCCCCTCAAACAGTCTGTCCAGATGTTCCTCTCGTCCATGAAGCCATGTCTTTCTGAGGAGAAATACAAACAGGCTGAAATGATGGCAGAGGAGTTTTTAAAGAAAGAGGGACCCGCACTACATAGAAAAGTTAGAGTGAAAACTATGCTCTCGATTCTTCGTGCATGGATATGTCAAAAATCAGTTCCTCAAAAATCAGTTATATGCTTGAACTGTTTTAAAAAGCCATCTTTTTATATGAAACTCGAAGCTCCAACTTCGAGGCTTGACATTGAGTTGAGTGTCTCCTATTTCACATTACTGAGTTTTCTACAAATTGAGAGGCTTACACTATTGAGTTGATGAGATGAAGAATCAATTAAATTGCGCGAGCTGGAAGCAATTTGATAATCAAAAGATGCAGAAAATAAAGCCAAGTTATATAAACTATATGAACATATTTTTTTCTGTGAACAACTTGCTTCAGGCGATCCTATCTGGTTTTAGCTGTACCTAAAGTCGCTGTTCAGTCGCAACTGGCTTGCCGGGTGGTGGATAGACTACGGATACCTGGCCACCAGGAGTGAAGTGTACAGGGCGTTCATGAATGGGATAGGACCCAACTGCAATTTGGCTTCCGACTGGGCAGACAGTGCCGGTATAATTGTCTATGGTTCATATCTCTACTTCGTGCACAAGTTGGCAACGAGAGAACTGCCACCATCATGTGAGTCTATGAAATTAGATGAGCTCATTTGTTTTTAAATTTAAAAATTTGATTTTTTAAAACTTTAAATAAAAAATGCTGTAAGATTGTTTTTTTTTTAATTAATTCGGGCCAAATATGGCTTGAATCTTTAGCGATAAGATTTATATTGCGGTCTTTTCCCTGTATTGGGCATTGGTTGCTTTATTAATTCGTTAGTAAACTAGATCATATCGTTTTAGCGATCAAGAATATGATCCCCCTAGAAATGAAGTACCTCAAGTACATAACCGGAGGTTGTCGCATTCCGAGCCAGGAAGGCGTGGACTCCTTTCAATGGACCGAGGCATGGAGAGAGGCCTATGTAGTCGTGCATATTAAGGGCAGATACTTCAAACTGTACCTCCATGACTCGAAAGGACAACAGTTGAATCCGTCTGTGCTAGCCCAGTTGTGCAGGGAAATGTACGATGCAGATGTGATGCAGAAGTTAGTATCAATTTTATCCAACGCTTCTCCGTTTTTATTTCTATAGACCAGTTGCAGTAACAGACAAAACAAGAGTGGTCTTTTCCTGTGCGAAAAGTTGGTGTGAAAATTATGATCTTGGATCGTAATGCATAGGTATTTCACTTCTCTTGACACAGAAGGTCCCTTCCACTGTTCTTTTGAGAAATTTTTTCTTATAAAAAATACTTATTCTTATTGTCGTGTCATACAAGCATTAAATTTTTTTTGCTAATGTTGAGTTCTTTAAAAATTTGATTACCATTTGCACTGCACTTATAGTTTTCACACAGTTTTAATGCATCTATGATTTTTCCATTTTTGTGCCAGAATTGGTTGGAAGGGGAGGGGATAGGGGCATGAAATGTCACATTTCCTTGCTCAAAAACTTTCCTTCAACTGTTTCTTTCATTTAAATTCATTTATTTAAAAAAATTACTTCTATAACTTAGGAATACAATTATTAAATATTTTTGCAAAGATTCAGTACTTCAATTCATTGAAAATTTAATCAGGAATTGCACTTGATTTATTTTTTAACCTAAATTTTGGGCATCACAGAACAAAGGAGAACAATCAGTTTAATTTTTCTGACTTTTTTTGTGAGACTTAGAGAGAAGGGGAGGGGTGGGGCCAAGAAATGTCACATTCATGGCACAAAAGACTTCTTTCCACTGTTTCTTTTGAGAAAATTATTTATACTTATTATCTTGGCATGCAAGCTTTGAATATTTTTGCAAAGGTTGAGTACTACAAAATTTATCTATGAGATGCATTCCACTTGAAGTATTCACAATTTTGTGCATCTGAAAACAAACAAGGACAATTAGTTTAATTTTCAGATATATTTGTTGCATTTTGTTGTCAAGCTGAGAAAGAAATGGAAAGGGATGAGGTCGTGCAATTAAGCTTTTTTGTCATTTTACGAATATTTGTTAAACTTTGATAATAAAGAAGTAGTTATTACTTTGTTTTCATCGTCAAAATGATCATAATATTTCATCCACTTTTTTCAACCACTTGTAATATTAAAGAATTATTTGGTTAAATATACGTGATGCCATCCAAAAAAAAAAGTCTCAATAAGTTACAAATCATCTATTACGCCGGCATGCCAATATACAATTTTTGTTCGTGTATATCTGATAAACTTTTAAATTCAAGTTTATGTCTTTGTTTAATTTGAACGTTTCTCAGCTTCACATTTAAAATGTTTGATTTTTTTCATTGTTTTAGTACAAGAAATCTGCAACAAGTGTTTGTTGCAGATTTTTTGCCCCGATTCGTTCTATGAAACTATTTTTTGTTCTGTGTGGTTGTTTAATTTCAGAGTTACTCTGTTATAGATATACGCATTACCAGTTTCATTTATCCGAATGTTTTTGCCACATCAAATTTTCTAGATAGGCTATGTTGGGTAATGAATATTTCTGTTTGTGATAAAACTATAGATAGATATTAAGTAAATCTCGTTGATGATCATATGTTCTACTAAGATAGAATGTTTTTTATTCCGCAGTTATGTTGCCTGCTTAGTCTGTCAATTTGAGACACGGGTATATTTTAGAAAAATGCTGAGCTCGAACTGACAGATAAATGAGTCAAACGTACGCCTGAAAAAGATACGCGTTTTGTCGACTAAAACTCCTGGTATGATTATTTTTGCGGAAGTTGTTCATTTGTGTGAATAAATTTTCTCAACATTTTTTTTCCACAAAAAGTGAGTTCTGTTTTATCAACATTGAGAACAAGTTTTTTTTCAAGCTTTCATGTACTTTCTTGTATATCGAGCCTTGTTCTTAAATTCAGCATTGATTTTTCTTTGCATAAGAGTCTATATCATCATCGAATTTTGCTTAACTCGTTTGTTGATTTTTTTTCATTTAATTAGAGAATAAAAATCAATAGTCATGGGCTAAGTTCATGTTTATTACCCTTGCGATACGCAAGGGTAGTGGAATCGGGCATTAGACTTTAAATTGAAACAGTTTTCAAATGGAGGTAACTGAAACAGGACTTCGAAACTGACGAGGACTTGTTCAGGATCAAAAAATTTCGGCCTTATATTTGTCTTCTTATGTTTTGTCGGCTTATTTGTCACGCCTTATAATCGTTTTATGCTCCGAAAAGTTTTCGTTGTAGTTGCGTTCGAGTGTTTTGTCATTGTAAATATCGGCCGAATCGAAATATGCTTTACATTGGTTGTAACTTTACCAACTCGATTTGTTAACTTTTCGTTTTTCTATATAATTTTTTTTCGGCTTAATTGGTTTCGGCTTCTTTTAAATCGACTTAGTGGCCTCTTTTTGCGTCGCTTGATGACTGAAAAAAAAAATTGTGCGCGTATGTGTTCTGAGGGGAAGCGCGACTTAATTTTTTATTTATTAAAACTTTTTCTGTTTTCGACAGGAAGGGTTTCTGCTCAGGGTTTTTCTGTTTTGTTACCGCTTGGTAATTTTTGTTCCGATGCTTATTTTTCATTGTATTGTCTAGGAATGTTTTTTTTGCTAATAGTTTTTCGTCTTTTTGGTTTTCGATTAAGCTTTCGGTTTAGTTTCTTAGTTTTGCATACCACATTGCATTCAGCTCATATGCGTCTTTAGTGGATGCTATATGGACATCCATGTATTTTCTTTAAGTTAGATTTCGCGGAACAAATTTGGTTGATTTTCAGCTGATTGGCTGTCGGCTTTTTTTATGTCGCCTTATTTACCTTGTTTTTTATTTCCTACAAACTTCTGATCTTAATTATGAGATCGATAAAATTTTGGCCCGAAAGGTACATTTTTGAGTTCAACCTCACTTGGAACTCTTTAAAAACTTTTAATGCATTTAAACAAAAAAAAACTTGATTTTTTTTGCTTTTCTAGTTCTTTCTTCAACAGTAGCAACGATTGGGGTCCTCTTTGATAGTTCTTGAGTGTCTCGCTTCGCCTCTGCGTTGATTTTGTTTTTCAAGTAATTAGATAGTGAAAACAATAGTCTAAAAATAGTACCTCATGGTGTGCCAAGATTGAGTATTTCCCATTTCAAATTATAATTTTGAAATTTTACACACTGCTTATGGTTTCTCAAAAAGTCCTTCAGGAGATTAGATGTATTATCGGAATACCATACTTTTCAATTTTTTTTAATTAGTTTTCAGGAGAAATGAATTGAAAGCGTCAGCAAAGTCTAGAAAGGTTGCATCAGTTTTATCGATTGATCCATATTGTTGAGAACTACATCTGTCGCAAATTTGTGTTTCCTGAGATTCGAATTGGTCGACGTTCAATAACGATATTCATAATTTTAAAAAAAAACTTGATTTTTTGTAATTTTCTAGTTCTTTCTTCAACAGTAACAACGATTGGGGTCCTCTTTGATAGTTCTTGAGTGTCTTGCTGTTTTAATCATAAATTTGCGGTATTGCACAGGGTGCGAAGCTCAGCTTCGCCTCTGCGTTGATTTTGTTTTTCAAATAATTAGATAGTGAAAACAATAGTCTAAAAATAGTACCTTATGGTGTGCCAAGATTGAGTATTTCCCATTTCAAATTATAATTTTGAAATTTTACACACTGCTTATGGTTTCTCAAAAAGTCCTTCAGGAGACTAGATGTATTATTGGAATACCATACTTTTAAATTTTTTCTAATTAGTTTTCAGGAGAAATGAATTGAAAGCGTCAGCAAAGTCTAGAAAGGTTGCATCAGTTTTATCGATTGATCCATATTGTTGAGAACTACATCTGTCGCAAATTTGTGTTTCCTGAGATTCGAATTGGTCGACGTTCAATAACGATATTCATAATTTTAAAAAAAAACTTGATTTTTTGTAATTTTCTAGTTCTTTCTTCAACAGTAACAACGATTGGGGTCCTCTTTGATAGTTCTTGAGTGTCTTGCTGTTTTAATCATAAATTTGCGGTATTGCACAGGGTGCGAAGCTCAGCTTCGCCTCTGCGTTGATTTTGTTTTTCAAATAATTAGATAGTGAAAACAATAGTCTAAAAATAGTACCTTATGGTGTGCCAAGATTGAGTATTTCCCATTTCAAATTATAATTTTGAAATTTTACACACTGCTTATGGTTTCTCAAAAAGTCCTTCAGGAGACTAGATGTATTATTGGAATACCATACTTTTAAATTTTTTCTAATTAGTTTTCAGGAGAAATGAATTGAAAGCGTCAGCAAAGTCTAGAAAGGTTGCATCAGTTTTATCGATTGATCCATATTGTTGAGAACTACATCTGTCGCAAATTTGTGTTTCCTGAGATTCGAATTGGTCGACGTTCAATAACGATATTCATAATTTAAAAAAAAAACTTGATTTTTTGTACTTTTCTAGTTCTTTCTTCAACAGTAACAACGATTGGGGTCCTCTTTGATAGTTCTTGAGTGTCTTGCTGTTTTAATCATAAATTTGCGGTATTGCACAGGGTGCGAAGCTCAGCTTCGCCTCTGCGTTGACTTTGTTTTTCAAATAATTAGATAGTGAAAATCAATAGTCTAAAAATAGTACCTCATGGTGTGCCAAGATAGAGTATTTCCCATTTCAAATTATAATTTTGAAATTTTACACACTTCTTATGGTTTCTCAAAAAGTCCTTCAGGAGATTAGATGTATTATTGGAATTTCATACTTCTCAATTTTTTCTAATTAGTTTTCAGGAGAAATGAATTGAAAGCGGCAGCAAAGTCTAGAAAGGTTGCATCAGTTTTATCGATTGATCCATATTGTTAAGAACTACATCTGTCGCAAATTTGTGTTTCCTGAGATTCGAATTGGTCGACGTTCAATAACGATATTCATAATTTAATTCAAAAGCAAGCATTTAAAAACTTTTGATAGCGCGTTTGTCACACAAATTGGCCCCTCATTTGTTGCGACCTATGTTCAGCACTAACTTTTTTATAGTTTTTCAATTGAGGTCGAATCATGACTAAAATGACTCAATCTTGTGGAAGGCGTCCTTGTGGTACGTACCTACCTGCAATAAACAGTTTTCTACTAGTCTGTGGAAGTGTTTTACTGGAGCTCCTTGGCTCATCAAGTGGGATTAAGTCTTTACAGGCACAATCTTGAAATTGGTTATCGCGGAACTTAATTTTGCGTGGAACACGGTTTTCTTCGGGTCTGACTTAATAATTTTGGCGTTTTTAGGAATGCTGATCAAGACTTTGACCCCTGTCTGTTCACGTATCTGAAGAGAGTCAAGTGGGCGGAGCTGCGAGAGACTTTGTTGCAAGACAAACAGAACGAACAGATGCTGCAAACTATCGCAAAGTAAGTCTAGCAATTAAAGCTACTGACTCACTTAACACTTTCTTCCAAATGAAAAAAAATCTTGTGGTTTACGGCCAACTTCGTTTGAATTACGTAGAATTTTTCTAAAATTAGTCCTCGACAAATCTAAAATTACGAGAAATTTATCTAGAGCTGACTTTATCTAGAGTTCCGTGAAAATACGATTTTTTTCTGGCCAGAAGATATCAGCGTTTATTTTTAGACAGTGGATCAGGATTTAGACCCCCTATCTGCTCAAGGTGACATTTATTATTTGTTGTTTCCTTTTTAATTCTCATGGTTTTATATAGACTTGTTATGATGTGTCTCAGGTAGTTTGGGCGTCTGTCATAATTTTTATTTCGGAGAAATAAATATGTGCAAGTTAAAGTACACACTTATCATAACAAATTTGCTCACTGTTTGGATTGCATGTGTTGACTTTGGGTGTGGTTCAAGTATGATAAACTGGACCAAGTTAAGATCTTCCACCCCAGCCTTTAATTCGCCTTAAATTTGCTAAGCACTGCATGTAAAATGCTCGATTCTGATTGGCTGAAAATTCCCTACTTAGAACCAAGTTAACATCATCTCCCCTCCCCAAACGGCTTTGGGGGGAGGATGTTAACTTGGTTCGATAAACTACTAGAAAAAGCAACTGTAAACGTTGGTTCTAAGGGTCGTTTTGATCATATATACACGAAATGGTTGATTTGAATTTTCACTAAAACAAAAAAATTGAATTGGCTAAAAACAGATATCATATCACTGGTAAATCGATGACCGTAATTGTATACGTTCGTTGCCACCAGCTACGAACTCTTCTGAGGAATATTGGGACGGTTTTAGAGTAATTCAACCCCTTTCGACCCAAAGCGTCCCTTTCATTGGTACCATTTTAGAAAACAAAATTGTTGTTGTTCCGACTACTGAAAATGCGGAGGAACTTTGTATTCGGGTGTGTTATAGTATTTTTCTTTTTTTTTTGTTTTCCTCGCAAAGTCAGGTACCACAATTATTAATCGGAGTGGGTCGAATGATATATCATAAGAGATCCTTTTCAGCCTTGATTCGAACGATATTAAAAAGTTTTCATAAAGTTGTCACAGTATCGAGAATAACTGGTTTAAAATTTTTGATTTTTAGTCTATATTCGAGCGAATAAACAGAGGTAACAGGCTTACCATAGCTCATTTATGCTTAATTTAAGCCGTGAAAACTTAATTTTACTCAAGTAAATTTAGTTTTAGAAATTTTTAGCGACCTAATCAAAAACTTAAAAAAGTAAACAATTTCTGAAAAACAATTTTTAAAAATTTTTCTCATTTTTTATTTTCCTATTTCTAGTCATTGTTCTACAAAAGCTGTTGTCCATTTACTATTACTGCCGCTTATTTTACTATGACAGTTGAATATGCCTAAGTTCTACATTTTCGTTTGGATCCTTGTATCACACCTCGCAGAAATTACGACAAACACCACTTTTTTTGTATTTTTAAGACTATGGTCGGAACATTCTGTGCTACTTAGCCCAGTAACCGTCTATCCTTGGTTAAGTTGCATTTGACTTCAATATACACTAATGTTAGCTGGGAGCGGGCATTTACACGATAGTTTTGGTTGAAACGGCATTTAACTGGTTCAAAAAGAATAGAATGCGATGCAAAAGTTTTTGGCAAAATAGGGGTCTTGATAGTGTTTTAAGATAGTTCTGAAAATGAATTTGGTCGACCTAAAGAGAAGCCGAACATTGTTCAAATCTGCCCACCCTGATAAACCCGTAAATCCGACCCTCAAGTTATATAACCGAAAAGCATTGTGCTGATATTTTATTGTTTTAACTCCAGGACTTCTCTCGAGACCGAACGTGTGTGAGTGTTTGTGTGTGACTTAGGTCGGCGTTTGTGTTGCACGTATTGGATGGGGAGTCGTTTGATGATGCTATGGAAAGTATGGGCGACACCCAACTGCAGATGTGGTGTGACAGGAGTCTCAACGTTGTCATTAACAAAGGTAGAACAATTACAATGACCCAAATCTCAAAAATGTCAAAATTGATTATACACAACGTCCGAAATATTTTGGGTAATGACATTTTCACAAAAGCGATTTTTATTTTTACAATTCATCAATGCAACGCAAAATGTTGAAAAAAGGCAAGCGATTTTGCAACAAAACTGGCTCTTGGAATCTGGTAATATAGCTTCCACATTTTCATTCTGCTTTTTGGGAAATATATAGAATTTGTGAATTATTATTGTCTGAATAGTTTCATAAACGCAAATAATTAGCTGTTTATTTCTACGTATCGAAAATCGTCTACCAAATATGTCAATTTTTTATATTGTGAAATATAAATCTTCGCTTAGGCGGCTATGTCTACATATGCTGTGAGCATTCCCATTGCGATGCAGTTCTGCTTGCTTCCATTTACTCTGACATATTTCTGATTGGCAAAACTCAACTGGTAACTTCCGAGGGAAAACTAAACGTCTCCAAATTCGTTCCAAACACCTACTTCCCAGATTATGAAGAATTACAATGGAATTTACAACCAGAATTACGTACTAATTACGCAACTATCAAATCTGAAGTGATAGATAATCCGAACTTGAAAACTCGTCTTTGCGTCAAACGCGTGAGTGTAGATAAAAGCTTGATCAAGGCCAATAAAATGGGCCCGGATAGCTTTTTCCAGAGTGTCATTTTCTGGGCTTACTATAAGAAACATGGGAAAATTGCAAATGCATATCAGCCTGGTACTCTAATGTCTTTTAAAGACGGCCGAACGGAAAATACGCGGCCGCTCAACCAGCCGAAAGTGGACTTTATCAAAGCAATGGAAGATTCTAGCTTGCCTGATGCTATGAAAGTAGACTTGCTGAGAAAGTCGGCTAATTATCAATATTATCAGACAAGATTGTCATCTGTGGGAGAAGGATGCGACAGACATTTGTTTGGGCTGTACATCATTGCTAAGGTACATTTTTAGATTTTTGTTTGTATGTTTTTTGCAAGATTTGTTCTGCTAGTCTTATTACACACGCAGTGTTATTTTAGGCAGAGCGTAGTGCTTTTCTGACATAAGTCGCAAATGAAAGTGCTCTTTTTTTTGTGGCACTTTTGCAGTATTATATCTGATTTATTTTTACTGCATAGTCTTACATCTTTGTATCTAGGTAAGAATAATGAACGTAGTGAATACTCTTATATAGGTCTTGGTGATTTTTTTGTTTTTTTTTCAGGAAAAAGTCTGAAAATTTGTTAACGCTCAATTTTGCTTTTTCGAGTCTTGAGTTTTGATTTTTTTTCAATTGCTGAAAGGAAGGCAAACTTCACTATCGAATAGCAAAAGTGTAAAGGTCACGAAAATCGTGATATATTTCTAGTTTCGAAAGTGGATTTTAATGTTCAGATTTCAAAGCGGACTTAAAGATTTACCTGCTGATTCATTTTTCTCAAGTTGGGTTAATTTTATCAAAAAAAAATACCAATCAGAAATTGTTCTTGAAATTCAAAGAGTTTTAGGGACATATACATATTTTTTGAAACTCGGAAGATGAAGTTTTTTCAAACAACAAGTTAATTCTAGTTTTTTTTCTGTTTCATTACGTTCATTTATTTTTTTCAATATTCAGTTGGCTATGTTTTGTCGGAAGCCAGTTTTTGTTTGATAAAAATGAGTACTTTGAATACGTCTGGGAGAAGCCAGTTTTTGTTTGATAAAAATGAGTACTTTGAATACGTCTGGGATTTTGTTTTTTTAAAAAATATTTTTATATGCTTTGAAAAATTTGTGCATTTCTGATTTTCAAGAAAGTGGTACAAATGGAAAGACTGGCAACCACCTGTGCCTGCAAACGCCGCTAGTACATTTTTACTTTATCCAATTTCCTACGGCATTCAAAGATTTCATTTGGGGAGTTTTAGAGTTTCATTTGGGGAGTTTCAGCGCCCCAAAATTTTTACAAAATTCCAAGGGAAAATGAAAATAAAATTAACAAAGAAAAATGATTATATATATTTTTTGGAATTCCGCAACAAACCCACGCCCGAACCTAACCAGTACCAATCAACGTAAAAGAAGATTTTTTATTTTGTTTTCTGATTTTTGCTGTGATATCTGTGGTCAGAACTTTCAGTGCTACTTGCACAAAATGACTTCTTTGTTTTAATAACCTACTGTAGTTCGATCGGTATATTTTAAATAAAACATTTTGTTTTCCTCTCGTTTCTAGCTTTGCAATGGTATCACTCTCAAACATGGCTCCCGACTGAAATTGCACATTAGACATCGGAAGATTAAGGGTTTTTATTTACAATGTTTGGCGTGTTTCAGGGAACATCAACGCCCAGCGAGTTCCTCGACTTTGTTTTCACTGAAGGAATGGACTTTCCACTTTGCACTAGCGTTTGTCCCACAACTATGCTTCCCGAAGTCAAACATTTAATCGAAGATGACGCCAATGCTAATTTCTGTTCAATCGGAGGCCAATTCAGACCAGTAGATCCAAATCAGTATGGAGTAGTATACATGGTTGTATGCCAGAATGAAATGAACATTACAGTTACTGATCTGGCCTGTTCAGAGGAGACGAATGCGTTTGAAATGGGCGACACAATTCAACAGTGTTTCTACGAAGTGTTCGACTTGTTGAAACGAAATAACGACCAAGCTAAAATGGAGCGAAGGTGAATTTTCGACAGAATAAACTTGAAACTTGAAAACAGATGCAGTATAGCATAACATTGTTCCGACCACTTCACAAAGTAACGGAACTATGGCGTAGAATAAGTTTTGTTCCAGCCGATTTTGTCTGCCTCAATAAAATCTGAGTCATTCATCTGTGGTATCTGATGTAAACCCTTACAGCTTGATTCGGAGTGTAAACATTACGTTCAAAAAATTTAATTTTTTTTTTTCAGGCTGGAAGTTTCGGACTGAATTTCCGATCTGATTTGTAAATTTTTCAATATTTGAACTATTATTACCAGGTTTATATAGCTTAATGACCGATAGCCTCCTCTCGCTTATTACAAAATGAACATTAAAACTCAAAAATCATGAAAAAAAAATTGCAAATTTATTTTTAGATTTCGTTGTGAATATTCGCGTTGTCAGAAGATAGTGCTACTTGCGCAGCAACCAGATATCTTCGTTATTTAGTGTATCATACATTTTAAAATAGTTTTAAAAGCAATTAAATTTTCATTTTCGCACGCGCAGAGGTTGCAAGGCCACAGTTCTAGAGAAAAGTTAAACTCTAAGTTGGAATGGAGATGAACATACGGTAAAATTCATTTAAAAATACTGGCCGCCGCAAAGCCGAGACCTGCCAATTTACCGTTTTTATCGAGACATCTTAATTTACCCAGTTTCGGAGACCAAAAGTAGCAGTCACACAGATTGCAGTGAGGATTACGAGCCGCCTGCCGAAAACCATAGAGTCGCTCCCTCTGCCCCCCTGGGTATTTGACCACTGTCAACCCAAAGGGTCCCCTTTGTACTATTTTTGAGATATTCAATTTTGGCGCTGGACCCTAAATTTTTTCTAAAGGCTAATATATATTCTAATTTTGAGGGGGGAGAGCGCAAAATTTTCCAAAAAGTGCCTAAAAACGTCTTTTTGGCCCGTTTTTGTGCCTGCGGTTGGCCAAAACAAGGTCTCTTTAGTCCTTGTAGAGCTCGGAAAATCAATTTGTTCAACCTAAAAAAAGGTCGACAAAATTTTCGATTTTTTTTGAAAATCCGCCCCTCGAGAAAATCCTAGATCCGCCTCTGCTCTCATTGTTACCATTTTCTTAAGAACGTCGTTACAAGATAATTACATACGCGAAGCGTAGTGTATAATGAAGAAAATTTGTTTTCTTACCTGAGTCGCAAATAAAATGCATGGGATTTGTTGTTTTAGTTTTTTTTGCGGCGCTTTGGATTTTTTTTTGTTTTTTTTTTCGCATAGATTTCTATTTTTCTCAAAAACTACTATACTAATTTTCACAAAAAATAGTACTAATGGAAAAACCGGCTCTTCTGTGTGACTGAATACTTTGCTGGTCTCTTTTCATTTTAGGCAAAACAGGCTTTTCCTTATTTCACTTTGTTTTGTTTGTTTAGATCTCTTTTTTGCATTTTCCTCGCTTTTGTTTGCGAAGCGCAGCTTCGCATCTATGAAAAAAGTGTACTCTGGAAAAAACTGAGTAGCATGTAATTCTCAAATTGTATCTACGATTTTAAAATTTGGAGATTTCACTAATCATTATTTTAGAATGTGTTTTCCAAGAAGCTGTATCGAAGAGGAAAATGCTTCTTAATGCATAAATTGTATCTTGTCTGCGCGTATGATCGTTTATTGCACAGCTGTGCCAAATGTGTTCCGTATTGGCATGATGATCCCTAGCTACGCTACGATTGCTACTTGTGCTTATTTATGGAAAATCTCTAAGTTATGGCGAAAACGCAAACAATCGGTAGTGACGAATTATTACATTTTTTGCGATTGGGTTTATTTACATACTCATTGCCCTTGCCCAAAAACTTACCCTTTTTTAGAAAATAACGTAAATTTATAGCCCACAATAGTCAACATAATTTTAACATTGAAGTTTTAATGATACAGATATGATTTTACAAATCAACATATTAAATTCCAGGCTGGTTTCTTCAATATTAGCATTGTTTTACGCAAAAACATAAAAAATTTTATTTTACATATAAGATTCGAAGCTATGAGTACTTTTCGTTTCTGGAACTTTATTATAAAAATTTAAAAAATACTCAATTTATGGTCCGATTAATTTTTTGATTTTTTTCATACCTTGGAGCAATCCAGTCTGTTTTTAGCACTCTTTTTAGCAATTGAAAATTCTAACCACTTATTTTATTTAATTGTGCATTAACTTTTTTGATCTTATCTTTTAGTAGACATTTAATGTCTTTTCGTTACTTCTGTCTGCTCTCCTCTCTCTCACAGGACCATTTATTTCTTTACATAAATCAATTTTTCTGAGGAAGTTAAGTTTCTCTTAGAACAAGCATGCAAAATCAGTTATGTTTTTTGAGAGCAGATTAGTATATTTGTCCTTTTTTCTCATATAACTAATACATGTTTATATCTCAGTTTATTTGGTGATTCAAACGATCAAAGTATTTATGCTGTAATCTGCTGAAATATATGCAGCTATGACTAATGTGGAACAAGTCTACTACAGATTTAAAGAAATTATTATGCGACAATAATCGTAGCTTAAGTCGCATATTCTAAATTGACCAAAATGCGCGAGCCATTTCGCTTAGAAGCTGACTTCTTTCGTTCCCAAAACAATTTTTAGTCTATTAGAATGCCTGATTTTTTCGGCAAGAATCTTTTGTTTTCATGTTGCAACTAAAAATAATTTTTTTTCCGGAAACTGAAAGTAAAATTTTACGTAAAATGTGAAAATGGAGGTGATTGAAGGTGCTGAAAGAAGGCTCAAGACGGCAGTTGAATACAAGATAACTTACCTAGTTATAGCAAAAGCCATTCGTGATGTTGTTTGTTTTATATTGTTCAGTCATTGTAAACGGAATTCATTTTTTTGCTCACGCAGGGGCTGCCAAGATAAAGCTTTACGAGAAAAATTTTAGGGTTAATTTGGAATCGAGAACAAAATGCGATAACATTCATTTTAAAATGCTACCCGACGCAAAGACGATACCTGTCATATTATCGTTTTGATCGAGACATCTTAAGTGACTTAGATCTGGTGACAAGAAAACGCGCAGATGGAAGTGAGGATTAGGAGCCGCCTGCTAAAAACGATAAAGATTTCAAAAGATATATTGTTTGAACATTTTGAGGTATTTGATGCTCCTCTTTCTGTGATGTTCATAGTTTTCAGTTAATTGCACTCTCATCGCTAACGTTTTTAACGAACCTCGTTGGGAGGTAATAAAACGTGTTCTCTGAAAAATTTTAGCATCGATTTTAAAACTAGGATATTTTACTGAACATTATTTTAGATTTTTTTTCCAAGAAACTGTGTCAAAGCAAAAATTTGCTTCCTAATGCATGAGTTAATTGTCTTGTTTGTCTGCAAGTGTAATCTTTTATTGCGCTTTTACAGCCGTGCTAAATTTTTTTCGGATTGGCATGATGATATCTAGCTTCGCTAAGATTGCTATTTATGCTAAATTATGGAAAAGTTCAAATAGTTATGGCGAAAATACACAAAAAAATTTACTGGCGGATTTTTACAGTTTTTTCGATGGTTTCATTTGCATGCTGAAGAATTTGCCGTTTTGAAAAACGTAAATTTAATAACCCACAATTTTCAACAGATTTTGAAAATTGACATATTAATGATACAAGGTATTAGTTAAAAATTCAACATTAAATATTAATATTCACCTGGTATTTATTACAATCAAAACTATTAATTTATATTTTACACATATGACTTGAAGTTATCAGATTTTTTTGGCACTGTTTCATGTAATTTAAAATTTATTAGTCAGTATTTGGTCTTATCTTTCTTTTCTTTTTGATTCCCTTCTTAAGTTTTGGAGAAATCCTATCTTTTTTTGGCACTCTTTCTAGCAATTGAAAAATTATAACCGTTATTTTCTTTCAATTAAACAATACTATTTTTTAAAGTTTTTCATTTTTTCTGTTAGACATCCGTGTTTTTCCATTATTTTTTTGTCTGGTCTTCTGTCTCATAGGGCCAATTTTTTCCTAACGTAAAATAAAGTTTCTCAGCAAGCAAAGTTTCGCATGGAGCAAACATGCAGAATGAATGATGTTTTTTGAGAGCAGATTAGGATATCTGTTATTTTTTTCTCGTTAAACTAAAACTAATACTGATGTTCAGTTAATTTGGCAATTCAATGGATCCAGGTATTTATGCTGTAATCTGCTGACACATGCAGCTATGGCGAATGTGGAACAAAACTAAATGTTTTACTAAAGTTACACGCGCCGATAATAGTAGTTTTTGACGCATAATCTATCTTGACCAAAATCAGCAAGCCTGATTTAACTCGTTCACAGAACATAATTTTTTGTCTCTTACACCGCCTGATTTTTTTCAGCTATTAGTACACTTCACTTGACAAATCACAGATTTTAGAGAAAAAAGTTTCTGGAAATTGGACAAAAATGGTATTTCCAGGATCTTAATTTATGGGAACGAGAGAAGGGCGCAGACGTTTATGCTAGAAATTTTTCAATTATTTATTCTTTCGATTGCACCCTTAATCCCAGATTTGGAAAATGATTATTTTTCCAGAAAGTTCAAAACGTTCAAAACAAAACGGTCAAAATATGGCAAATCCTAAGTCTGTGATTTTTTTTCTACGAAAAATAATGCATAGGCGTATATGCAGGAAATTTCCCCTAACCTGTTGTTTTGATTGAACTTGAAAACAACAGGCAATTCCTAAGTCTGTGATTTTTTCTGCAAAAATAATGCATAGGCGTATATGCAGGAAAATTTTCCCCCTAACCTGTTGTTTTGATTCAACTTTCTCAAAATGTTCAAAACAAAACGGCCAAAATATGGCAATGCCTAAGTCTGTGGTTATTTCTTCAAAAATTAGTGCATAGGCGTATATTTGGCCGGGTATTTCTGTCAAAAATTGGTAGTAAAATTTAAAATCTTAGAAAAATCCAGTTTATGACATTTTATTGTTAGTTTTTGAGAAATTTTCTGGTCCAAATGTCTGTAGATTTGACAAACATTTGGCAGGGTAGTTTTTGAGAGTCAGAAAATTTCACAAAAACTTTCAAAATTATCTCTTTAACAGGTTAAAAATTGAAAAATCAGGGCGTAGGAGCCTGTGCAGGAAAATTTCTCACTACTTTTTCTTTGGGAGTAAAATTAAATTTAGAGTTCGCAGGGTATTGATTGAGAAAACTCAAAAAGTTTCACAAA